ATATAAAAGATACATTTTCTTTAAAATAAACACAAAACTATAACTCTAACTTATGAACACTATTGTAAAAAAAGTTTAAAAAAATTTATGAGCAGATAAAATTATTCTAGGATGGTTACTAGAATTTGATTAACATTAAGTACCATGGAATCGAGCATAACTCCTAACAATAAAATAGACCTGCACCCTAATCTATCCTGTGCCATCCTCATACTTTCCTGACACAATAGAGCCTATTGCAGAAGTGACTATGTCAATCAACATGGTCAAGGGTCTTCCTCTCCTCCACCAATCCTATGCCTTTCCAAACATGTCCCACTCCAAGGAACAGCCCCTCCAAACAGCATGACTGAAGTATGTGAGGTGAAGCTCAATCATTATTGTCTCCAAAGAGTATTCTGGCTGCACTTTCCTCAAGATATATTTATGGATTCTTTTGGCAGTCCATGGAATGTCCAGTACTATTCTCCAACTCCTAGCTCAAATGAATGTCCAGTACTCCAACTCATAGCTCAAATGCATCAATTGTTTTTTTGTCTTCCTTAACCATTGTCCAGATTTCAGATGCATAGCAAGTGATTGAAAAACCATGATCTGAATCATACACACCTTAGTTCTCAAGCTAACATCATTATTCCTTAATAATTTGGAGAGATCCCTAACTGCAGACTTTCCCAGTGCAATGTGTCTCCTGATCTCCTGACTGCTGCTACCAAATGTGATTGTGGATCCAAGTCAAGTAAGAAGAAAATATTGACAGTTTTAATCTTTTCTCCATCCATCATGACTATAGATTAAAAAGAAGTAAAAACTTAATAAATAAACAAGACACTTATTAAGATGGATGTAGTGGGGAAAACAATATACAACAAGTGGATGATCAGACACTGTATTATAAATAATGTCATTAAACAAGTACATATGGATGATTAAATAAAAGGCAAATATGTTTTCTAAGATGTCATTCAAATCACAATAGACAATATTTTTTTATAAGTTAGCAAACAACACACACATAGGAAATCAGTAAATGTTGTTGCTTATATTTTAGGCATGCCACACATGACATTCATATAATCCTCAAAAACAAAGGAAAAATTCCTCAAAGTGTTCAAAAGATTATCTCCAGGCTCATAAAGATGTGTTAAGGAACTATGTCACATATAGATACATAGCTAATAACATGGATTAAGGACCAAATTTGACACTGAACTCCACCCCCACAGCACATTGATGATAATTTTTTATCCATTGCACAGCTGTCATAAACATGTGGACAACTGAAAACTTCCATTGGTTCCATCAAGCATACCTTAGTTTTTAAAGTGATTTCCTTGCTCTTCAGCACTTTAAAGTGGTCCTGGGAAGCAAAGGTGCCCAAAGCAATTTGTCATTTTTCTTGACAGTCAAGTTTCTTGACTGTCTCCATGGATGTGAGACTGCAGAGTTGCCGGTAAATATAGTCTTTTAGTTATTGGTGCAACGTCCTGTTTTCTGCATCATCAAAGCTCCCTGATTTTTGGATTACTGACAACTCACATCCTTTCTTCATTAACATGATACTTCCTATCTATGTACTGTTACAACTTTTTAAAATGATTATCAGTAGTATTTTGCTTGCATATGATATTAATGATATTTTTTCCACATTCAGTTGGATCCAAGTCATTTTTGCTACAGTGATTCTTTTATTGTTTTGCTTTTTGGTTTTGTCTTTTGTTTTGTGGGGGGTCTTGTGTATAAATGCTTCCTGCATCACTTACTATTTATTTGCTCATAGAATCTTTCAATATTGCAATTTTAACTATGAGTATATTCTTCAGTTCTTCCGTCAATATAAATGCTAAATATGTTCTTCCTTATGATTTTCTAGCTACAGATTTTTACACATTTAATTATAGTACTTTGCTTTGTCTTAAGACATCCTTTGAAATCTTCTGTTCCACTGTTATTTCCACATTTATTCAATTTGTTTTCATTTTCATGACTAGATCAAGTTTCAGTATCTCTTACTACATTTTTTACTTATGCTTCTTTCATTTTTCTGCATATTTTTCTTAACACATGATATAATGTATGCCTTAATTTATGTTAGTCAGTGCATCAATTCTATTCTTGAAATGGTCTCTAAATTCAGGTGAGATATAATAAAGTTTGTGTTTGGCCCTTACGGACTTATCTTTATTTTCCCAGCTTCAACATGTACTCTCAGTTTTCTCTTTAATAGTCTTTCTAATATATTATCACAAAGTGCAGTACAAAGCGTTCCAAAACACCAAAATCAGTCTTGTGATAGATTTATTCAGAAATGAAACAAAATCACAAAAGGATGTACACCAGTGTTCATCACAAGAACATTGAAAACAGCCTAAATGTCTAAACAAAATAGAATGGATTGATACATTATGGTGCATTCACATGATGGAATACTACACAGCATGCAGGAGTAATGATTTTTAAAATTACCCCGTAACTTAGGAGGGTCTGGAGAGCATTATGCTAAGTGAACTCACTCACTCAGTCCTTTAAGGACAAACACTGTATATGACCATTACTACAGAAATAGGAAGATAAGTAATAGTATAACTTGTATGAGGACCCAACGTGGGAGAGGGTAGGAGCATAGGGATAAGGATGGGAAGTGGGTACTTATAGGAGGTCATTTGATGAGCTGAGGGAGGAATGGGTAAAGGAATGGAAAGATTCTGTGTGATAAACACTGTATACAAACTTTGTAAGTTAAAATATAAAACAAAATAAAAATTTATACTTTTTTAAAGTAAAATTATATAAAAGATACATTTTCTTTAAAATAAACACAAAACTATAACTCTAACTTATGAACACTATTGTAAAAAAAGTTTAAAAAAATTTATGAGCAGATAAAATTATTCTAGGATGGTTACTAGAATTTGATTAACATTAAGTACCATGGAATCGAGCATAACTCCTAACAATAAAATAGACCTGCACCCTAATCTATCCTGTGCCATCCTCATACTTTCCTGACACAATAGAGCCTATTGCAGAAGTGACTATGTCAATCAACATGGTCAAGGGTCTTCCTCTCCTCCACCAATCCTATGCCTTTCCAAACATGTCCCACTCCAAGGAACAGCCCCTCCAAACAGCATGACTGAAGTATGTGAGGTGAAGCTCAATCATTATTGTCTCCAAAGAGTATTCTGGCTGCACTTTCCTCAAGATATATTTATGGATTCTTTTGGCAGTCCATGGAATGTCCAGTACTATTCTCCAACTCCTAGCTCAAATGAATGTCCAGTACTCCAACTCATAGCTCAAATGCATCAATTGTTTTTTTGTCTTCCTTAACCATTGTCCAGATTTCAGATGCATAGCAAGTGATTGAAAAACCATGATCTGAATCATACACACCTTAGTTCTCAAGCTAACATCATTATTCCTTAATAATTTGGAGAGATCCCTAACTGCAGACTTTCCCAGTGCAATGTGTCTCCTGATCTCCTGACTGCTGCTACCAAATGTGATTGTGGATCCAAGTCAAGTAAGAAGAAAATATTGACAGTTTTAATCTTTTCTCCATCCATCATGACTATAGA